TGCACATTCTAAAATCATTCAACAAAAAAAATGTCAAAAACTGCAAGTGTAGACTCAGTTAAAGATCTAACAGAAGCCGACAAAGTGGGATATTAGCTTAAGCAACATGCAAAATTAAGGTCACTATGGCCGTGTCCAGATGTGCATGGACATCTGGTTCCCTGGGGACAACTAGTGGCAGCGCACCTTGTGTCACCGTTAGCTGTCCCTGGAAAACTCAAGTTATTCCAGGAGATTTTTTCTTCCAACATGATTTCAGAGACATCAGGGCTGGAAGGGACCTCGGAAGATCATCGAGTCCAGCCCCCTGCCCAAAGGGCAGGAAGTCAGCTGGGGTCATAGGATCCCAGCAAGATAAGCATCCAGTTTCATCTTGAAGGTGTTCAATGAAGGCACTTGAACCACCTCCGGTGGCAGGCTGTTCCAGACCTTGGGGGCTCGGACAGTAAAGAAGTTCTTCCTTATGTCCAGCCTGAAATGATCTTGAAGTAGTTTGTGACCATTCGACCTCGTCATCCCTTGGGGCGCTCTGGTGAACAAACGTTCCCCCAGATGCTGGTGGTGACCCCTGATAAACTTGTAGGTGGCCATCAGATCACCCCTGAGCCTGCGCTTTTTCAGGCTAAAGAGCCCCAGGGCTCTCAGCCTGTCATCGTAGGGTCTGCTTCCCTGACCTCTGATCATGCGCGTGGCTCTTCTCTGGACTCTCTCAAGCTTCTCCACATCCTTTTTGAATTGTGGAGCCCAAAACTGGACACAGTACTCCAGCTGCGGCCTCACCAAGGCCGAGTACAGGGGGAGAATGACGTCCCGGGATTTGCTTGAGAAGCATCTATGGATGCAAACCAGAGTTTTGGTCGCTTTACTAGCTGCCGCATCGCATTGCAGGCTCATGTTCATCTGGTGGTCAATGATGACCCCTAAGTCTCTTTCTTCCATAGTGCTAGCCAACATAGCACTGCCGAGCCTATAAGGATGCTGCGGGTTTTTTTTCCCCAAGGTGGAGAACCTTGCATTTATCGGCGTTGAACACCACCAGATTCTCGTCCGCCCACTTGCTGAGCTCTCCATGCTGCCAGGCTGTGCTCCTGATCTCCTGCATGCTGCATTGTGGCTGCGCACATGCACAGGGCATTTATTGGCTGTTCAACCCATTCACAATATCTATCTCCTGGATTACTTTCAATAGTCACCGGGAGATCGATGCCAATTCCAGTAGACTCCCAGCCAATCCGGGAGGGTTGGCAACCCTATAGGAAAGACCTGCACCACGCAGACTCTGGTGCACAGCAAGTCACCATGGGTGAAGTAGAGGAGGCTGGAGCCAGCACTGGGCTGGCCCTAGCAACCTTACCTGGAGTCCTAAGGGCCTCCCAGGGCTGCAGCAGCGGTGATCCTGCTGTGTGAAGCTTGGCCAGCAGTGAAACGCAGATCCAGCTGGCCAGGCTCCAACTTTGGGTGGCGCATGCTACCACCATGTGCGCCAATCTGCTTTTTTTTTCCTGTGATTTTTTTTGACCCTTGGATATTCAGGGGTTAAAAAAACCTTCTGCGCTGCTTCCTTGCAGCAAGGAGAACTGAACGTGTGGTATGTGGTGCTGTATGGGTGCAGCCAGTATGGCTATCAGTACACCACAGACATTGGATACCAGTCAAAAACCCAATACCGTTGGGCACTTGAGTCATCAAAAAAATACCGGATCAGCTGACGAGTCAAATATTGTCAAATAATGGTAAAATATTTTAAGCATGAATTGATTACAACAGTGAAGAGAGAGACTTGAATTTTCAGTTAAGTTAGATACTTTTACTTAAAAAAAAGTTAGTTAATAGTTATTGCAAAATTCTAAAAAATAGTAAAGAATTGTTGTAACAATCCATGTTAGGCAAGTGGGAATGTGAATGACATTAAAGACTGAACAATTCTTCTTTTTCTTGACTTGACTCCTAAAGCCTCAGGCCTGAACTGTTGCCAACAAAACTTAAACAGAAACAAAACACACTTAGCAGTAGGGGTGTGCAAAATAGGCCGTATTCGATTTGGATTCGGCCCAAATAAGGGACAGTGATTAGATTCGTTGATTTGGATCACTGTTCCCAATTCAATTTAGCCAAATCCGAATCTGAAGATTCAATGCTAATTCAGAGAATCAACGATTTAGCCATAGACACAACTTTAAATGTTTTTTCTACACAGCTTGAGGTACCAGGCACAGCTCGTGAACGCTGTGATGCTGGGGCAGATGGAGCGTGAGGGGGCCCCCCACGAGCTCAGCAATGAACCCGGAAGTGGACCGGAAGTGCTTCCAGTCCACTTTCAGGTCTCCTGCCGAGCTCACAGGGGGAAGAGGGGGCCATGTGCCCCCGGCTCACCATTGGCTGTGGGAGGACCCAAGGTCCCCCCACCAGACCCAGGAGGCACCAGTTGCCAAGCTGGGGGAGCACGGGGTCCCCCAGTGCACTCCCTGGCAGACCCGGAAGTAGACCAGAAGTGCTTCTGCTCCACTTTCCAGGTCTGCTGCCAAGCGCTCTGGGGAGCACACCCCATTCCTGTGGGATGCTTCACCTGCCCCAGCATCTTAGCATTCACGAGCCTCCTGGTACCTTGAGGTATGTAGAAAAAAAATCTAAAGCTGTGTCTATGTCTGAATCATCAAATTTATCCGAATCTCTCCGAATCAATTCAGAGGGTTCCAATTCGATTCAGAGAGATTAAAGGGTCTCCTGATTTGATTTGGATTCAGAGATTCAGCCACCAAATCCGGGACCAAAGCTTCACATAGCCCTACTTAGCAGCTATAAAAGACATAGTCAGTTTTTAAAGTTCAGTTATACAAAGCAGGGAATAGGCTAACTCTTTAGGCATTTCATGTTTGCATTTGGAGATGCCTGCAGTCACAGCAGACAGCCATCAGGGGAAGTTTTGGTTTTTTTTATGCCGCTTAGTTTTTTATTTTTACTATGCTGCTGGTGTAGTCTCCTGACCCTGCTAACAGATGACGCTATCATACTATAAAAAAGGTAGGCCACCACATATACAAGGGCATTTCTTGGCTTTATAGAATATTTGACAATTTTGACTGGGATCAAATAATAAGCAGTCAACTGACATGATTTGACTGGTCAATCAACTAGCTTGCCAACCCTAGTTCAGAGTGAACTTGGTATCTTTCCAAGGTGCAGTGCTGAGCTGGGTAGACATCAACCCATATTTCTACTTAGGTTTTACTAATCACATCCATCACAAAAGGTTTCTCAGGTGCATATTCCAAACCCACAGAAGCTTCACCGAAGTCAAACGTACCCCCATGCAGATAATAGAGTCAGGAGTCAAGTGCTTAGGGGAATGAGTTTCAAACTATTACAGGGTAGAGTTTGTGCACTGTATTTAAGCTACAGTTTTTAAGGAAGGTTATACTTTTCTTCTCATTTAAATGAATAAGAGCTGGCAGTGAGTACTCAATGTTGTTCATTTTTCTTTAAACAATAATATTTTTAAAAATTAGCCTGCCTGTTGCCAGCATAGAAAAGGACATGTTGTTTGCCTGGAAGATATTCAGATACTAGTGATGGACAAGTATATACAACATTAGATCTGGCCAGTTAGAGAATGGATTTGAAGTCTGCTGAAGTAGTGGAGCAGGAACAGAAGCAACTTCTAGAGCCTGCCACCAGGATGGAGGAAACGATGGCTGTAGTGCCAGTCATTTTCAAAAGAGATGGTAATGGATTTATCTACACTGCAGTATCCAACCACTTCACAGTCTTTAAATATATTTTTCCTCATGGCACTGTCAGAAGGCCCCAATTTTGCATAGGGGGGTGATGGTGGTAGAGGCGACCATAATTTTTCAGACGTTGCACAGAATTGATTCTGTCTTCACAGGTTAGTCTAAGATTGAACCAATAAGTGAACAGACATTCACTTCTAATTCCAGAAATGCAGCCCATGCTTGCAGGGGCCCAGACCAGAAGCTGGGAGGGTGCTAGAGCACACCTCCCCCCTTGGCTGGAGCAGACAAGCTTGAGCTAAGGCTAGCCCACCCACACTGTGAGGAAGGGTTGCAGAAGAAGTGCAAAGCATCCTGGGATGCTGGTGGACTGTCAATTAACTGAAATCTAGAGGGGATCTGGGAGAGAAGTTCAATAAACCAATTTAACTTAAATCTGTTAAATCTGATATTGCATCCATCCAGGTTTATCTTAAACTGGTTTCAGCCATTCTGAAAGAGGTTTATGTGCAGTGAATTTGTGTTTTGTTACAAATCTGAACCAGTTTCTGATCACTTATATGGTTTGTGTTTAACTTCTGTACCTAGCCTATCAAATCACCTTTCAGTTAACTTCACTTTTCTTTTTCTTACAAAGTTTTAGATTGCTGAGTACCAAGAAAAGAAAAAACAACTATGAGGTTCTCTCCCCCCAGGTTTTAAATGACTTTTCTTAAATCTGAGGAGGCTTGATTGATATATATCCCAAGAGTATATTTTTTCCTTTAGTATTTTAAGATTTGCATCAAAACTACTGAAGATGATCCATATATTGAAGTATTACTATAATTATTGTTAAAACTATTTATCAAAATTCACAACCAAAATGTTTCTGCAGTTGTCTGCTCAGAAACTATTTAGTTCAAAAAAATCAAATCCATGTTATTTTAATACTGATGTTCTTTGAGAGCTCACCTACACAGTGTTAATAATAGCCATGTTTTTTCTTACTTTCTATCTATTTCTTTTCCTGTGTTTAAAGATTTTGGTTAAAAAGAATACTGCCTACTTCTTAGCATTCTTATTACAACTGTATGAAAACAGAACAAATAAAATAGGTTATTCTTAAGTAGATGGTCACTATCACAGTAATATAGCAAAACTGTGAAACAGGAGGAAGCAAGTGGTAATAAAACTTTGAAAGAATAAAACCAAATAATTGATATTAAAATATGAAAAACTCTGTCAACCAAACCCCTCCCCACAAAAAAACCCCACCACCCTTCTTACCACTCATCAGTAAAGTCCAATTTTATTGTGCTTGTAGTTGTTCCTTCTGTACTGTAGTGCAAACTTAAAACTGGTTCACCTGTTCCTGTGCGTGGCTTTTCACTCTCTGTAACAAGGTTAATAAGGTTTGAATAGTGTCAGTATTTAACACAGAACGTTTATATTTGTAAAGATAGTTCTATCATTCATTTAACAAAACCAAACATGGTTGGCTCCAGTAAAATCTATTCAGAAGTCACATACAGCCCAAACAGAAGTTAAACATTTCATACTGATCACACCAAATCCACACTTTGCAAAGGTTAGGGTTCAGCCCATAATTAACTATATATATTCACGCCAACTAATGAGGGATATGCTCTCCTTAGAGCATATGAGATTCTCACTGACATGCATAGGAGCCATAAACACAAAGTAATAATTTGGTCCTCTGCGAAAAGAATCAATGTGTATGTAATGCACAAACAGCAGGAATTAACAATATGCATTTTCAGCAGTGGTAGTCAACATCTGCCTGAAGTGAGAACATATTTCAGAAAGATAGTGGGTGACAGTCAGTACTCTGGACAAATGTGACCCATTCCATTTCTTTTGTGTTATGAATGGAAACCAGACAAATGTCCTGAACTTACAAATGCCCTTACAGAGTTTTGTTAAGTCAGATGAGGGACATAAAATTTTGTTTTACATGGTAAAAGTGGATGGGGAAAGAACTTTCAAACTTCAGCAATAGGAGAAATCCACATTGGGAAAGAACAAACACCAGACCACAGGAGTTCTGAACTTTGATGAATAGAATTAACAGATCATGGGGCAATGGTGGAATGGACTTAATGACAAACATCATCACATTCTTTCCTGAAGGATGTTCACGGCCAGTAGATCCATCTATACCATAGTCCTCCTCACCAAAAACACTTAAGATTGCAATTGTCAATGTCTGCTACTAAAGGTCAGAGTGATTAGCATCAGATACAAACTTGCTTGAAAGTTGCATTTTTTTGCTCTGGACCGAGCCCAGGAGGAGAATTCTGGATTTCCACACCCCAAATACATCTCATCAATAGTCTACCTGAGGCCTGGCTATACCATATACATATCCTGGTATAATTTACATCCGTTTGTAAGTTACCATTGTAAGTTATGCCAGGAAATTGAAGAGAGAGGCACGCAGCTCTCCCAGGGTAGCTGTAAGCAACAGGGGGCACAATACCACCTAGTGGCAAAGCACAGTAATAGCTTGTCTATCTTTGGCATATGGCTATTGAGGAATGACAGTAGACAGTCAACTTAAACCAGTGTTACTTACACCAGTTGAATTTTACCCAATTCTTTTGGTAATGTCAAACCAAATAAGTAAAGTTATTCCAGTTTTATGACCTGCCTTGTTTGTCTGCTCCTTTCTACATCAGTAATGCTGATTATACTGGTATAAGCATGAATGTTCAGGCCCTGACCCCACCCTTGCATAAAAAAGGAAATTTTAGTCATGATTTGCTATTGATATAGTATTCATATGCTATTTCTTAAGGATCAATGTGCTGTTCCCTACTGTTGGTACTGAAGTTTAAAAAAAATAAATAAAACCCCCATCTTCCTCACAAAAAAGCTTTTTTTTTGCTTGATCTTATTATGAAACCATAACCTTAAGTCTCTAACTTTATGAGTTATTTCCATAATGTAAAAGACTCACAATAAATGTTAAAATTTTGCCCACTGAAGTAAATTATATTTCTCTATATAATTATAGGGTCAAACTCTGTCTTCACAGTGCCACTACAAAATCTAAAAGAATAGCTAAGCTTATGTGATAGAAAAATTCCAGTTTTAAAACACACCTCTCTCTCCTAATAAAGATAACAAAATGAAAAACAAATGGAAGGAAAATGGACATGATTAAATATGCCATTTTAAAAGCATTCTCCAGATCAAAAGTCCTCTTTTAAGACAAAGATCCAACTGATAACCATAGTGTTAACATCCAAAGACTCCTGTAATGTAAATAATCACCTGCTTTTTTTTAAATAAACTCTCAACATGAAAAGCTATCTGTTGCTTCTTGTTGACTGATAAATGCATACTGAGCATTAAATACTTTGTCATTCAAACTATAATACGTCACACAAAGGAGATAAATCTAGCATCCCTATTTATCCCAAGATTTATTTTAGATTACCAAATAAACCAGTGTCAGAACTGGAAACAGAACCCCACAGATAATGACTACTTCCTGATATCAAATATGTCTACATCTTTTTACTTCACTGCCCTCTAGACAGCCGAGTTAGTCATGTTAGGTTGGTTACTGGGAACGTGCAAACCTGATCATAAATGCTTTGTTAGCAATGTCACCTCATATCCTACAGGGTGAAATTAAAACTGAGAATGATAAATTAAAAGTTTAAGAAGGATGTCCGCTCTTCATT